CTGTTACCTTCCCACCGAAGTGGTACCTATTTATCTACTTGCAATTTCTTGCTTTCGAACTGCTAGGTTGGCAGGAGCTGGAACTAGAGACGGGAGCTCACTCCATCATGCGGCACCCAGGTCTCGAACTGCTGAACTACCGACCTTCCACAGCCTGCAGTTCAGCGTCTTAACCACTTGAGCCGCCCAGCTTTTACTCATCAGTATAAGAAACCTGCATCTATGTATTATACATATATAGTGTTTTTTCTCTCCAAGTTGCCAGAAAAAGAGTTTTTTGGGGGGAGATTTTGTGGGCAAGATGTAAATATTTGCCAGTAATGTTAACATGTGTCAATAGAAAAGAAAAAGAGTCCAGTAGAACCTTGAAGACTAACAAAATCTGTGGAAGAGGAGGAGCTTCCGTGAGTCACGTCTTGCTTCTTCAGATACAGCATCTGTAGCTGAACAAGTGGGCAGTGACACACGAAAGCTCATCCTCTCTCTACCACAAATTATGCTAGTCTTTGTGGTGCTCCTGGACTCTGGCTCTTTTCTACTGCTATGGACAGACTAACAGGGCTACCCATCTTGATCTCTCTACATTTGTCCGTGACTGGGAAGCCCTGCCACTAGAGGGTGACCGTTTTGTTATGGAGCGGCGAAAGGAGCCGTCGGTAAGGCAGAAGATGCTGCTGTTGTGGGGAGAAAAGAGGGCTCCCTCCCAAGATCACAACTTGTGATCCATCCCTTAAACACCAATAATGTAGACTCCTGTGCCAGTGTCGTTATTTTTGGGGGAAGGTCTTTCAGTTCTCATCTTTTACACTCGTACCCCATCCTCCTCCTGAGGCGTTCAAAGTGGCCTACATCTATCTCCACTTCTCCATGTTGCCCTCTCACCAACCTGGGGTGGTAGGCCACACTGAGTGAGCGACGGGTACCAGTAAGGTCGGTGGCTGAGTGGGGGGTTGAATGCAGGGCGGTCTGAACTGTGCAGTCCTCTACGCATCACTGCATCCAGGGCTATTTTTGCAGCAGGAACTCCTTTGCATATTGGGTGACACACCCCTAATGTGGCTGGGGGGAAGGTCTTTCAGTTCTCATCCTTTACACTTGTACCCCATCCTCCTTCTGAGGAGTTCAAAGTGGCATACGTCTATCTCCACTTCTCCATTTTATCCTCTCTCTCTCATATATATATGACGAGGACTGGGGATCTGGGTTCAAATTTCCATGGTCACTGTTCAAAAACATTCTAAGGCCACTTACTGAAGTAACATATTGGAGGCATGTTATATTAGTATGCATAGAGGCAGTGTAGTGGCGCTCTCTAGGTGACCTTGGGACAATCCCTTGCACACCCCCTCAACCTACCTTATAGGGCTGTCGTTAGGGTTAAAATGGAAGAAGAGGAGATTGGATTTATACCCCGCCCTTCACTACCCAAAGGAGTCTCTGAGTGGCTTACAATCTCCCTTCCCTTTCCCTTTCCCTGAGAGCTCTCTCGAGAACTGCCCTTGAGAGAACAGCTCTGAAATAACTTCTGACTGACCCAAGGTCACACCAGCGGCTGCATGTGGAGGAGTGGGGGAATCAAACCCGGTTCTCCCAGATTGGAGTCCACACTCTTAACCACTACACCAAACTGGAGAAGAGAACCGCCTCCACACTCCGAGACATTATAGAGAAGGGGAATCTTCTGACCTGTGATAATCTACCACGATCCTTTTTGTGAAACAGGAGCCAGAAGTGATTAAACTTTCCCCCTCCTTGCCTGTCGCTGTTCTGTAGCAGCCAATGAGAGCCAAGCACTGCCAGGCCTGTCAGCACTGCGTCCGTCGCTACGACCACCACTGCCCCTGGATCGAGAACTGCGTGGGGGAGAGGAATCACCCCCTCTTTGTCGTCTACTTGGCTGTCCAGCTGGTGGTTCTGCTGTGGGCCCTTCAGGTGGCCTGGTAAGTAGGGGAGAGGTGGAACGGGCCTCAATGCCTTTAATTGGGGCAGGGTGGGAAGGAGAACAGCCCCTGCCCGAAGCTCAAAAAGACTTTGAGAAAAAGGCAACGCGGGGGTCTCCAACATGGCGCCCACCGGGCGTTTTTAGGAAGTGGGCGGGGCAGTGCGGGGCTCTTGCCCCGTACGGCTTCTGATTGGCCACTGGAGATCTGATGGGCTGTGCATATGAAAACAGCATCCTTTCCATTGGAGTTGCCAACTTGCCACCACTCCCTCACGCGTTTTCCCCGTGAATGACCCCTCCTCTCCACTCCACTGGGGCCCCCTGCAGTTGTGTGGCGATGCCTCCTGCAGCTGCCATTTTGTGGCCACCCTTTTTCCGAATCCCAGAGGTGTCCGCAGGCTCAAAAGAGGTTGGGGACTCCTGATATCAAGAGCTGCACCGGTCCGCCCATCATTTCCCAACACGGCTCAGAACTGTGCAGTCTGTGACAAATGGGAGGTTCTCAGCACACAGCAGTCAGTGCTTTAGATCAGAGTCAGACTATCGATCCACAGAAGTGGCTGGCAGCAGTTCTTCCAGTTTGGTGTCGTGGATAAGTGCGCGGACTCTAATCTGGGAGAACCAGGTTTGATTCTCCAGTTCTCCACTTGCACCTGGCTGGATGACCTTGGGCAAGCCGTAGTTCTGATAAGAGCTGTCCTTGAAAAAGAGCCGTTTCTGTCAAGAGCTCTCTCAGCCCCACCGGTTCTGCTGTGGGCCCTTCAGGTGGCCTGGTAAGTAGGGGAGAGGTGGAACGGGCCTCAATGCCTTTAATTGGGGCAGGGTGGGAAGGAGAACAGCCCCTGCCCGAAGCTCAAAAAGACTTTGAGAAAAAGGCAACGCGGGGGTCTCCAACATGGCGCCCACCGGGCGTTTTTAGGAAGTGGGCGGGGCAGTGCGGGGCTCTTGCCCCGTACGGCTTCTGATTGGCCACTGGAGATCTGATGGGCTGTGCATATGAAAACAGCATCCTTTCCATTGGAGTTGCCAACTTGCCACCACTCCCTCACGCGTTTTCCCCGTGAATGACCCCTCCTCTCCACTCCACTGGGGCCCCCTGCAGTTGTGTGGCGATGCCTCCTGCAGCTGCCATTTTGTGGCCACCCTTTTTCCGAATCCCAGAGGTGTCCGCAGGCTCAAAAGAGGTTGGGGACTCCTGATATCAAGAGCTGCACCGGTCCTCCCATCATTTCCCAACACGGCTCAGAACTGTGCAGTCTGTGACAAATGGGAGGTTCTCAGCACACAGCAGTCAGTGCTTTAGATCAGAGTCAGACTATCGATCCACAGCAGTGGCTGGCAGCAGTTCTTCCAGTTTGGTGTCGTGGATAAGTGCGCGGACTCTAATCTGGGAGAACCAGGTTTGATTCTCCAGTTCTCCACTTGCACCTGGCTGGATGACCTTGGGCAAGCCGTAGTTCTGATAAGAGCTGTCCTTGAAAAAGAGCCGTTTCTGTCAAGAGCTCTCTCAATCCAATCTCTTTTTCTTTTACCTCACAGGGTGTCTGTTGTGGGGAGGGGAAGGAAAAGGAGTTTGTAAGCCGCTCTGAGACACCTTTGGGTAGTGAAGGGCGGGGTATAAATCCAAATTCCTCTTCTTCTTTTACCTCACAGGGTGTCTGTTGTGGGGAGAGGAAGGGAAAGGAGTTTGCAAGCTGCTCTGAGACACCTTATGGTAGTGAAGGGCGTGGTATAAATCCAATCTCTTCTTCTTCTTTTACCTCACAGGGTGTCTGTTGTGGGGAGGGGAAGGGAGAGGAGTTTGTAAGCTTCTCTGAGACACCTTTGGGTAGTGAAGGGCGGGGTATAAATCCAATCTCTTCTTCTTCTTCCTGGGTATGTGGCAGGAAAAGGTCTCTTTCTCTCCACATCGGTTAGTTGACCTGGATATGCCAGGAATAGAACCTGGGACTTTCTGTACGTGAAGATGGTGCTCTGTCAATGATGGGGCAATTACAAGGTCTCTTTCTCTCCACATCGGTTAGTTGACCTGGATATGCCAGGAATAGAACCTGGGACTTTCTGTACGTGAAGATGGTGCTCTGTCAATGATGGGGCAATTACAAATTTCAGCTGGGTTCAAAGAAGGGGTCCAAAATCACTACTGACAACTGGAGTAGTCCCTGAGGCTGCCCTGGCGGGGAGGGCAGGGTATAAATAGAATAAAATAAATAAATAAATAAATATTGATCGACCAAGGAAAGCATCTATTCCTAAGAAAATCCAAGATGCTGACACTATGACATTGTTCATCCTTGGTACTTACAGCAAAGTTTTACATCACAAAAAGGCAGTCACTATCAATGCACGTCTACTCCACACTGCACTAACTTTAAACTAATAGAAAAGCAATCTATACTTAAGAACATCAGAAGAGCCCTGCTGGATCAGACCAGGGGTCCTTCTAGTCCAGCATCCCGTCTTACGCTGTGTCCAGCCAGTTACTCTGGAGGTCCAACAACAGGGCAGAGAGGCCGAGGCATTCATAAAAACATAAGAAGAGCCCAGCTGAATCATACCAGTGGTCCACACAGTGGCCAGCCAGTTCCTCTGGAGGGCCAGGAACAGGGCATAGAGGCCAAGGCCTTCCCTAGAACATCAGAAGGGCCTTGCTGGATCAGACCAATAGTCCATTCAGTCCAGCATCATGTCTCACAGAGTAGCCAACCAGTTCCTCTAGATGGCCAACAACAGGGCAGAGAGGCTGAGGCCTTCCCTAGAACATCAGAAGAGCCCTGCTGGATCAGACCAGCGGTCCATCCAGTCCAGCCTCCTGTCTCACACAGTGGCCATCCGGTTCCTCTGGAGGGCCAGCAGCAGGGCTTAGAGGCTGAGGCCTTCCCCTGATGTTGCCTCCTGGCTCTGGGATTCAGAGGATCAGTGCCTCCGAAGGTGGAGGTTCCCCCCAGCTACCATGGCTTCCTTCCTAACATACTTTTAAAAACACCACTACCTTATCTGTTGTGTGCTGCTAACGGGACATGGACTGCTGACTGCTGTCGTTTCAGAAAACAGGATCTGTGTGAAAGGCTTAGTTGATATTAGCTTGCCCTTTGAGGCAAGGAATGCAGAGTTTTGGAGACTTCAGCTAAAAGCATAGATAACAGTGCTGGCCCTTCACTGGGTCAAATGTTCCCCCCTCAGTCCTTTACTTGGCCTTCACTGACATGGCTACACGATGGCCCATTCACGCTGCACCTTTCCCCCCTTCCTCAGTGAACTGCTGCCCCATCCACAGTGTCTGGCTCGCATCGTCTCCTGCCGGGCCCTTCCCTCATCTGCTCTGCTACCTGCCTTTAGCCCCATAAGCTGTGGCTGGCTGTGACTGAATGTACCTGGTCATTTGCTGACAATATCAGGCCCTCTTGAAACCTCACAGAGCACCTGAGCCAATGCTCAAGTCTTCTGCTCAGAAGGAAGCAGAACTTGTCAGCATCAGAGTTCAACCTAAAGTCTGTGTGTGTGTATTAAAAGGGAGAATCTATAGCAACATCCTTGATCAAGTCAAAGGCAAGTACTTGCACACCTCCCCTGCACAATAGGTAATGATAATTAATAGTAACAAAAGCATTTATTTTTCAAATTCCAGAACAGCAGCTGTGGGTGTTGTGCAGCAAAACCAAACTGACATTTCAGTCATGCGCTTTATTCTAGCATAAGCTTTCAGGGAGTTAGAGCCTGCTTCCTTAGATGCATGAGGTGGATCCTCATGTGTGAGTGTGTATACATGCAGACACAGCCTTTTTACTGGGGGAACACGCAGGAATGGAGTTCTGGAACCTCTTCTATAGTTCCGCGGGGCCTGCAAGACGGAGCTCTTCCACCTGCCACTATTACCACCACCAATCCTAATTACAGAGCCCTGGCCCTTGGCTTTGACATCCACAGCCTGTGCTGCCGCTCATATCAGGAAGATCATTGAGCAGAACATTTAGTTAGGCCTTTGCATGCACTCATACAGTATGCCGTCACTAAGTAATTAATTAATCATCGCTAGCACCTTATGATACTGAACTGTTTTATAAGTAAACTGTTTTTAGATGATTTTTTGTGGGTCTTGTTATTTATGTACTTGTGTAAGCCGCCCTGAGCCTGCCTCGGTGGGAAGGGCGGGGTATAAACAAACCTCTTCGACAAAATTCTTTCCAAAATGATTAAAAGTTCATGAGTTTTCAGTATACGGCACCTCTTTTTCAAAACGAAAAAGCCCTGTGTGTGTGTTTGTGTGTGTATATACACAAGGTATTCTGAGCTTGCTGTTCAATTTTTTCCCCCTCTATAACCATGCATAACTGGAGAAGACCCTGATGCTGGGAAAGACTGAAGGTCAAAGAAGACGGGGACGGCAAAGGATGAGATGGTTAGACAGTGTCATAGATGCAACGAACATGAAATTGAGCAAACTTCAGAGGACGGCGGAAGACAGGGAGGCCTGGCGGGATCTGGTCCATGGGGTCGCGAAGAGTCGGACTCGACTGTGCGACTGAACAACAACAAAATATACACACATATGCATATGCATGGTTATAGAGGGGGAAATATTGAACAGCAAGCTCAGAATACCCTGAAATGCAGAGTTCCTCGTTCTAGGATTGCATTGAAATGTTCACATCATCCAGCAGTGACCATGCATGCCACAACAGCAGTAACTGGTGATAAGCGGAGATCCCTGTTTACATTTTATTTCCATATCAAGCATTCAGGTCATTTTAGGGAAGTTATGGTAGGCTGCACCCCCAGTCCCGAGGTGAAAGCAGACGCTGCACAGATCAGACTCTCAACTGCTTTGTTACACTGTTGGCTGGGAGCAGAGGGACCGTGGCTTAGTGGTAGAGCCTCTGCTTTGCATGGAGAAAGTCCCAGGTTCAACCCCCGGCACCTCCAGTTAAAAGGCCCAGGCAAGAGGTGACGGCAGAGACCCTGGAGAGCCACCGCCAGTCTGAGTCAACAATACTGACCTTGATAGATGGTTTGACTCGGTATATGGCAGCTTCATGTGAGAGCAGGGTGGAATAAATGCAAAGCTTATGGGGAGGGGCTGTGGTTCAGTGGAAGAACCCTCTTGCTTGGCATACAGAAGGTCCCAGGTTCAGTCCCCGGCATCTCCAGTTACAAAGGACCAGACCTTTGACCCTGGAGAGCAGCTGCCAGTCTGAGTAGACGATACTGACCTTGGTGAACCCTTGGTTTGATGCAGTATGCGGCGGCTTTGTGTGCGCGTTCATGTGTGTGTGTTCATGTGTACAGATTGGTACTTCAATGCCTACTTTCCCCCTCTTAAACACAAGGTCCGGCCTGAACTTCGAGCTGTCCTGGTTGTGGCTTCAGCACAACTTCCTCCTCCTCCTCTCCTTCCTTGTGATCGTTGTCTTCACCGTCGTGGTCTCGCTGCTGCTGGTTTCGCACCTGTACCTGGTCTCATGCAACACCACCACGTGGGAATTCATGTCCCGTCACCGCATTTCCTACCTGAAACAGTGCAAAGAGGAGAACCCGTTTGACCAGGGCATCTTCCGCAATCTCTGGAAGTTCTTCTGTGCTTGCCGCCTGGTCGCCTGGGAGAATCTGTATTTCCATGGGGAGGGGGACACCAGCGTGTGAGGCCGGAGCGGATGCCAAGGGAGCCCAAGCCGCTAAGTCTTTGGGTCGAGCGCTCCACAAGCTTTCGCCAGAGTCGGGAGCCAGGCCTCATCGCACAGAGAGGCTAAAAGAGCTGGGAGCTGTTCTCAGCACAGCCCGAGGGGATGTTAGTTGTGAACAAAAAACTCCTTTGTTGTTGACACAAAGTGCTTTTATGTATTGGGGGGGGGGAGCGCCGGCCAGCTGCTGCTGCTGCTCCTAGAAAACCACAAGACGAAAAACAGCTCCTTGTGGTTTCTGAATCTGCGGGTGTTCTCGCCAAAGGGACCAGTTTTCTTGTGCAAGAACGGATCTGTTTCATTTTTTAAAACAGCAAAGTTGAAGTGTCAGGCTATAACTGAAGATGTATAACCCAGCGGTCAAAAAACCCTGTTGCCTTTGACTCTTAACCTGACTGGAAACCCAGGATTTGTAGTCGGCGTGTGTGTGGTGGTTTTGTGGGGTCCCCCAGCGTGGTGCTTGGAGGAACCATGGTGACGACAGATGCCTTTCCTAGAGCCTGCCCACCAATGCTCCCTCTAAGCTGTGGAGTCCTGTGAGCAGAAATTCTCCTTTGTGAGCTACCGGCATTAAAGTTGAGAGCAAACGATTTGGCTACTGCATGAATTAGTTTGCTCTGGAGCCACATCCTTCCTGAGCTAAGACAAAAATGTGTGAGCTGGAGGCTAAAAAAACTGTGAGCTGGCTCACACTAACACAGCTTAGAGGGAACTCTGCGTGCCAAGTATTTTTAGAAAGTGGGTGGGCCAGGTGTATCAGCAGCTGTTCTGATTAGCCACTGGAGATTTAATTGGCGTTGCAGATTTTTGCCAGCCGCTTCCATCACAGCACAACAGTCTTCACTGTGTGATTGAAAGCAAGCTACGGCAGCCATTTTGTGGCTGGCGCCACCTGCTGCAACAGCCATTTTGCGGTTGGGCCCACTACCTTGTGTCAGAATTCCCAAGGTGCCTGCAGGTTCAAAAGGGTCGGGGGCGTGGGGACCCCTGCTGTCCTTGAGACATCATAAAACAAACCTCAGTGTGGCCTTTTAAGACCAAGCCAGGAAGTCCTCAGGCTCACAGGCAGGGCAGAGCCAAGACTGCCACTGAATGGGAAGTAGGAAGAGCCAGTTTGGTGTAGTGGTTAAGTGCGCGGACTCTAATCTGGGAGAACCGGGTTTGATTCCCCACTCCTCCACTTGCACCTGGCTGGATGACCTTGGGCAAGCCGTAGTTCTGACAAGAGCTGTTCTTGAAAAAGAGCAGTTTCTGTCAGAGCTCTCTCAGCCCCACCTACCTCACAGGGGAGGGGAAGGGAAAGGAGTTTGTAAGCTGCTCTGAGACACCTTTGGGTAGAGAAGGGCTGGGTATAAATCCAATCTCTTCTCTTCTTCTTCTTCTTCTCAACTTGTTGTGCTGCCTGAACTGAGCAAAGCGATAAACAGAACGCACCCTTCGGTCCTGGTTTGAAGGTTTAGAACTAACCACCTCTTTCAGATTCGGGAAACGCAAAACCGTGGTTAGCTCTGAACTGAGATGTTTTTAGGTTTCCAGGGGTGCCTGAATGACTTGGAAAACTTTCTGACGTTCTTCTGAACAAACCTAAGTCGTTTATGTCATCTGAAGACTGCTGCTGCGGGCAGTGCAACTGAGACGCCAGCTGTCTTCAGAGTGTGGTTAACCCATCAGCAACCAACAGTGGGCCCAAGGAGTCTCCCTTAGCCCTAGTGGGAGGGCTGCACGTTACAAATAACCAGGGTTTTCCTTTAACTCTGGATATGCAATGCAGTGCAAATACAGTAGTTCAGAGTCTGACAACATTGGGTAAAACTGTAACTTTAGTTAATGATGCCCATTGTACTTGCTTGTTAAAGGAGGGAATTTTGTTCCTGATGAGACTGTGTAGGCTTAGGTTTACCAGCTCTGAGCTGAATAATACCTGGAAATTGTTTTGGGGGGGGGAGGACCTCAGTGGGGTCGAAGGCCACAGACTCCACCTTCCAAAGCGGCCATTTTCTCCAGGGGAACTGATCTCTGTTGCCTGGAGACCGGCTGTAATGCTGGGAGATCTCCAGCGACCACAAGGAGACTGTAAGTGAAAATCAAAAAGGGAAAGCACTGCAATGAGACGCTCTCTAGTAAATTTTCTAATTAATTATAATATACAATATTTTGACATGGATAGGTTTATCATGTGTACCGGGGGTCGTTTCATAGAAAAAGAGCTAGGGGAACTCATTAGCATAACTCATTAGCATATGCCACACCCCCTGACATCACCGGAAGTGTGTCATAAGGCCACACCCCCTGACATCACCGGAAGTGTGTCATAAGGCCACACACCCCGCCCCCAACGGTCCCGGCCGCC